CACACACACACACACACACCTGAGTCTTAACACACACACACACACACACACACACACACACACACACCTGGAGTCGTAACCCACACACGCACACACCTGAGTTTTAACCCACAATCACACACCTACCTGAGTCTTAGCCCACACACACACACACACACACACACACACACACACACACACACACACACACACACACACACACACACACACACACCTGAGTCTTATCCCACACACACACCTGAGGCTTAACCCACATTGACACACCTGAGTCTTAACCCACACCCACACCTAAGTCTTAATCCCATATTGACACACATTATTATTGACACACACACACACACACTCTGAGTTTTAACCCACACCCACACCTGAGTCTTAACCCACACACCTGGTTATAAAGCTCACTGTAATATCATTAATGCAGTAAGAACGCCTGAGATTTTTTTTTACCTGTCTTAGTTGGTAGAAAATTGAATTAATTAAAGTTACTGCTCATTACTTCAATAAAAATTAGGTAATTATTCGTTGACGTTGTTGCGAATTGGAATGGTGGATAAGTGTGTGTGTGTGTGTGTGTGTGTGTGTGTGTGTGTGTGTGTGTGAACTCGGTAACGTAAATATATTCAAGGTGGGGTTAATACAACTCCCTCTTGACCACCTATGTTGATGAGAGTTTTTGATCACATTGTTAGCAGGTAGGAGAGAGAGAGAGGATAAGACAAGAACACCCATGGAGAGAGAGAGAGAGAGAGAGAGAGAGAGAGAGAGAGAGAGAGAGAGAGAGAGAGAGAGAGAGAGAGAGAGAGAGAGAGAGAGAGAGACTCGCCCTCATGAGTATATTAAAGTCATCGGTGCTACAGTTAAAGGCACCACTGTTTTGTTCTTGCGCCTGTAAACTTAACCTAATGCATCTTGGTTCCTTGATGGTGTAACCGCAACAGTTGAATATAGTGAGGTTAAGTATTTTTTTATTATTATTATTTTCCTTGGATGAGTTTTGAAGAGTTGAGATGTGGGTTTGATATCTGTCTAATGGGATGATATTTTAGCTACTAGAATATGTATGGAAAAGAAAATAGTAGAGTTTAAACCTTTTTTTGTAAACGAGTGAAGTTGAAATAACCGAAAAATTGTTAAAAGTTTACGCTAGCCATAAAAAAGTAAACGCATATGAAGGCTAAAGGAAGTTAAAACACTGGTGGTTCACTTAGATGGCTATAATTTATTCATAAACTAGTGTAGTACATTGTAGTCGTGTTATTGTAATCAAGGGAGTATACGCGTAAAGTCTTGTAGTACAGTGTGTTGCTACCGAGCCAAGTTGTTTAAAAGTTTTCATCACATTTCATTCAGCATTGTGAAGATATTTTTGAAAGATGGCGACGATGAGAGAGAGAGAGAGAGAGAGAGAGAGAGAGAGAGAGAGAGAGGATAGGTGTGACGCCGTAAAGTCAGGGATGAGGGAAGGTCTTAGGGCAGCTGATAGGCGACAACAGTGGCTTTAAGGGCTGGTGGGCTGGACTCCCCCTCGATCTCGGTTGCTGTATCAAGTGGGATAACAGCAAGCAGGACAGCAGGAGGTGATGCAGTAAGAGGGAGGCAACAGGAGGTATTGTAACAGGCAAGACGGCAGGATGGGGAGGGGGGGCAGCAGGAGGTGACGTAGCGGTAGAGACGCAGCAGTAAGGAGGCAGCAGGCGAGGGGAAGACCACCAAATAAACGTTCCCAATACTGACTGACTAACACAGCAGGCGAGATAACACCAGATAGTGAGACAACGGATGAAGGAGATAGTGAGACAACAATAGATGATGAAGCAAGAGCAGTGAAAGACTTATGACCCTCCTCCTCCCCCTCCTACATGACCCTCCCCCCTCCTACATGACTCTCCTCCTCCTACATGACCCTCCTCCTCCCTCCCCTCCTACATGACCTCCTCCTCCTACATGACCCTCCCTCCTACATGACCCCCTCCTACATGACCCTCCTCCTCCTACATGACCCTCCCTCCTACATGACCCTCCCTCCTACGCGACCCTCCTCCTTCAGACAAGTCCCTCCTCGACACACACTCACCACACCACCATCTTGATCATTGTGATGTATACAAGTGTAGACGAAAAATCTAATTGCATATGACAATTACTCGCTCTTTAACTTTTTTTTACGAGTAAGTTGATTATATTATATCCCACTCATGAGGATTTAGAAATTAATTAAATACTCATCGTAAAACAAGAGTAGAACAATTGAAGGAGCTGAGGCGTCGACTTGAACACGAGGGAGGGGGTGGGAGGGGTGAGGTAAGGGTAAGCACTAAGAGACTCGTTGTGTGAGAGAGAGAGAGAGAGAGAGAGAGAGAGAGAGAGAGAGAGAGAGAGAGAGAGGTCAGCATCTCGGAGTATTTCTAAACGAGGGAACGACAACCTTCTGGCCTTAGTTATTATCTTTTTGGTGGAGGAGGAGAATTGAATTTCTTTTGTCACTGAAAGAAGGAAAGAGGGAGAGTAATGAAGTTTCTGGGTGGCCTGATGGCTTATCTTTGTACTCAACACACACGGGGGTGGGGATCCGTGACACACAGAGAGAGAGAGAGAGAGAGAGAGAGAGAGAGGCATCTTATTTATCTCTATTTATTTGTATATAACTATTTATCATATCTTGTTTTGTTTCCCACCTCTGTATTCTTCCTCCCTCCCTCCCTCCCCACCCCCAGAGTTGATTGCCGCCCTCAAAGAACAGATTCATTTCCATGTATATAATAGATGGTGGGTCGGCTCTCCTCCGCACCTACACCACCACCACCACAAGAAGTCACTCTCTGGCTGGGATTATTTTTTCTCTTTTTAACAATGGAAGTTTTTTGTTGGTTGTAAGACTTTGTTAATTGGTTTAGTTCTCTTTCTGGCGGCTCTGCTTACCACTTACCTCTGATTTGCATCTTTGATAAGTTCATCAAGGTTTAATGCGTGATAATTCTTAATATAAACATGTTTACATTGTATGCTAATTATCCATCGGTACCTTTGATAATTAGATAAGGAGAAGATTGAGAATTTAATATACACGTTGATTATTTTACCAAGGCACAGGTAATGATTCATTGAGCTTGAAATTGAAGTAATGTTTGAGTATGGAACTTTCAGATGCAAAGATAAAGTTTTAAGCTGAAAATCATGAGTTGTAATGAAGTGAATATGTGGCTGAGTTGATGCCAGGGACAGTCTCTGTACTAGACAGCAGGAGTCAGCGTGTGTTTGTCTGCAGGAGGAGAGAGAGAGGTGTGTTGTATTAACCCACTGTTAACTGCAACATGGATGGTTGTCTTAAGAGCCCGAAGTTTCATTTAGATTTTGTTTCATGTGGTAATAATTTACATCAACTAATATAAAGAGAATTAATCCATTAATTAATCCACCTGAACTGACATAGACCAGGTGAGAGAACGTACGTGTGTGTGTGTGTGTGTGTGTGAGAACCATACACTTGATGATGACGACACTAAAAGCTTATGAACCATTAGTAAAAAAAAATAAATAAATAAACTTAAGATAAAATATAAAGACAAAAAATAATAAAATATAATATGAAATTAATGAAAACGTAAAGAGGTCAGTAAATTAGTTAAGAAAGATAGTGAAAATAGCCTCTTTCTCAGGGTGGGTAAGGTGTGTGCTGAGGAAGATTGTAGATCGATTATATTACATTTCTCAGGCGTTCATTCTTAATCCTTTGTGTACAGTGATTTAAGGGACCTGGTCATCGTATTTAGTGAGGTAAGTTTTCGTAATCAGAGTGTTATAAGATTACTCTCAAGGGGTTAAGTGATCCTGCTCGAGTGGTTAATTCATCGTTTATAAAGGGGTTAAGTTATAGTAAGCAATTCACTATATGGGGGGTTGACCTCGTGTTGAAGGGGTCATTGTTTTGCATGACCTTACCTTAAGCAGATTATCATCCTTGACCCTTTGACGATGATGGTTTATAACTTAAACCATTGTCCTCAAAGGGTTATAACTTAAACCATCGTCCTCAAAGGGTGATAACTTAAACCATCGTCCTCAAAGGGTGATAACTTAAACCATCGTCCTCAAAGGGTTATAACTTAAACCATCGTCCTCAAAGAGTTATTATAATTTAAACCATCATCCTCAAAGGGTTATAACTTAAACCATCATTATCAAAGGGTTATAACTTAAACCATCATTATCAAAGGGTTACCGTGACACGAAAATATTAAGCAAACCTACACATTCGTTAGGTTTTTTCGAGTTTGACTTTAACCTCTTGACTAAAATTATATAAAAAAAAATGGCTTCAGAAGTGACTGTCTAAAGTTAAAAGGAAGTCACTTAAAACAGCCGAAATAAAGTTTGAGTCGAGTAACCTCCACCTATGACCAGCGTCGAACAAAGCCACTGGGGAATATAACTTTCAGGAACGATAATGTGAGAGTTTAAAGGCGATAGCTGACAGCATTCGGCAGTCACTGAGCCAATAGACAGACAAGCGACTGACTTATTAATGTTCTACAAATTAATGTACTTAGCGATATATACTCCAAAGTAATAACCATAAAGTTACCTCAATTTAGACCATGAAATTCACTCAAGTGTAGATGGAAAGAGGAAGTTCCAGGAGACAAGTATAATTTCTATGCATGAAGAAATATAATTTGCTTTGAGATCACTCTTCACTCAGTGTTGAAATTCCTCGGTTGGACTCGTGAGGGTAAAGGGAGAGAGGTGGGTAAAGGGGGAGAGGAGGGTAAAGGGGGAGAGGAGGGTAAAGAGGGAGAGGAGGGCAAAGGGGAGAGGAGGTAAAGGGGAGAGAGGGTAAAGGGAGAGGAGGGTAAAGGGGAGAGGGTAAAGGGAGAGAGGTGGGTAAAGGGAGAGGAGGGTGGGGGAGGGGAGAGGAGGGAAAGGAGAGGAGGTGGAAGGAAGAGAGGAGGGAAAGGGGAGGAGGGTAAAGGGAGAGAGGTGGGTAAAGGGAGAGAGGAGGGTGAAAGGGGAGAGGAGGGTAAAGGGAGAGGAGGTGGGTAAAGGGGAGAGGTGGGAAGGGGAGAGGTGGGTAAAGGGGGAGAGAGGAGGGTAAAGGGGAGAGAGGTGGGTAAAGGGAGAGAGAGGGAGGTAAAGGGGAGAGAAGGGTAAAGGGGGGAGGAGGTAAAGGGAGAGGTGGGGTAAAGGGGAGAGAGGGCAAAGGGGAGAGGTGGGGTAAAGGGAGAGAGAGGAGGGTAAAGGGGAGAGGTGGGTAAAGGGGGAGAGAGAGAGACGACGGCGACGCTGGTGGCCCGCCCCTTCCACCACCTGCTGAGTGATGAAATATGAAATGCCTCCGTGTGGCACATTAGTGGCCACATTTACAGCCCTTTACACTGGTCATGCCTTCAGTGGCTCCCGTGTCCTGCAGCTTAATTGTTTACCACCGTACTGTAGCTGACTCTCCTGCACTAATGGAGAGGAAAGAGCGTTCATGAGAGACAATTGTTTTTATTGACCATGAGAATATTGTGGGTGTAATCTTTTAACACTAATACATATTTTCAGCTTTAGATGACGTGTATTGTTATTAAAATTTAAAGGAATCGTCGAAAAACACTAAACCCGTGAGCTGTCTTAGTCTTATGACACACGAAGGCCACCTAAATGCACCACCCACACCAACCACCCCCACCAACCACCCCACACAACCCATGTATGTGTAGTTTGTTTGTTATCTGGAGAGTGGGAAGTGGAGAGTGGCGGGTGTAAGTGGTGTTGGGGGGTTAAGGCCCAAGTGGATGGGTATAATGAAGGAAGATAATCACTACACTAACATGACAACAACGACACAAGACTATCCTCTAATACACCCATACGCTCGTATCTACATAACCACTCTGATATACACGCATACAAACTAGGCGTGTGTTCTCAATTTATATCCCAAGACACAGCGTGTAGATATACTGGTATACACGGACGTCCTACAGCGTTTACATGTAATCCAATTTATGACTGCTGACCTGACTATGATATTATCCCGCGACCTCATTTATAGTAATTTGAGCGGCTGTTTCAAATAATATCGTCAACATCGTTTATCATCGCACAGATAACCTGGAGTCAAGAAGTGGGATGAGCGTCTCTTCCAATAATCTTCAAGGTCTCATTTCTCTGTTTTAGATTATTACATCATTATATACTGTAGTCATCAAGGCCACCTGTGGTTATAGTCAAGGACATCAGACAAAGAAATCTAAGAGTTTAGTGAATTTGGTGAAGCCTTTGTTGGTCATGAGGGAGGCAAAAAAATAATTATCATTTTTTATAAACAGAAGTTTGAGTCTATGCCCGCTAGTGTTGAGTAGGAGACGACCATCCCTTGGTACATGTGTGTCTCGTGAGTAGAGATGTTGTCACCACACACACGCACATACACACATACACACACACACACACACACATACACACACACACACACACACACACACACACACACACACAAAAAATAATAACCTCAACATACAAGTAGTGAGGAATGTTGCACAGTGTTGAGTCTGTCGGACACAACACTGGGGGAGGAGGAGGAGGACCTTGTAGGGTCGGCTCAGATTACACTGTACTGATGACTCTATTTTGTCTTTTTACAACATTAAGTAATATGAATCTGGAGTCGGAATTGTATTACTGCATTAGTTCTGGCTGCCGTAATTATAATGTCGGGTGCGACTGCCTGCAAGGTAGAGTGGAAACCGCCTATTTGCATTGCTCATAATGGCCAGTTTATCCACATAGTGGGTGTGAGACAAACGGGAGACCCGACTATAAAAATGACATTAAGCGGAGTAATGCAGTCGCTCCATGAGCCGCAATGTGTTTTACAGCTGCTAATTGAAGATACTACACACACACTAATGCCCTCTATTATATTATGTGGATAATGGCGGTAGAAGATGACCCTTGAATATAGCTATCAACAATATGAAACGTCCCTCACTTAAAAGCAAGTATAATAACATTGTTTTTTTGTGTTATTGTTATTGTTATTTAGTCTGTTACGTCTCGGACAGTCTGGGTCAAAGGTCACACACACATCCTTGACCACCGTAGGGTCAAGACCTATTCAGGAGCTGCTCCCGATAGGCAGCTGCCCTCCTTGGCCAATGTCGGCCCATTCCCCAAGTCCCTCTCCCCGACCCATCCTCACCACCGGGATATCTACATAATCAAAAGTGACAATTTCGTTTCGGAAAGAATTGGGATCAGTGTTGAACAGTGATGAACAGTGTTTAAGCCAGTGAATTCAGCACTAGACAGTACCAGTGAATTCAGCACTAGACAGTACCAGTGAAAGCCGCGACCCACCAGTGAGATAAGCACCCCTGGGAACTCCCTGACAAGGAGGTGCTAATCCGTCCCTGGAAGAACAGAGGGCCGGCCGGCTATGCACCTGACTACGGGATAACACAACACCACCGAGCAATGAGGTACTATGACCACCCCACACCACCCGGTGTCCCCATGACTACGTGAGGTCCTTCATATCAACACCCGAGGACGAGTTACTACACCACGTAAACACCACATCACTCGATATCTCCATGACCACGTGAGGTCCCTCATATCAACACCCGAGGACGAGTTACTACACCACGTGAACACCACACCCCCGATGTCTCCATGACCACGTAGGTCCCTCATATCAACACCCGAGGACGAGTTACTACACCACGTGAACACCACACCACCTGATGTCTCCATGACCATGAGGTCCCTCATATCAACACCCGATGACGAGTTACTACACCACGTGAACACCACACCACCTGATGTTCCATGACCCGTGAGGTCCCTCATATCAACACCGAGGACGAGTTACTACACCACGTGAACACCACACCACCTGATGTCTCCACTGACCGTGAGGTCCTCATATCAACACCCGAGGACAGTTACTCCACCGTGAACCACACCACCGATGTCTCCATGACCACGTGAGGTCCCTCATATCAACACCGAGGACGAGTTACTACACCACGTGAACACCACACCGATGTATCCACGACCACGTGAGGTCCTTCATATCAACACCCGAGGACGAGTTACTACACCCGTGAACACCACACACCTGATGTCTCATGACCAGCCCAGCCCGGGCCATCAACTGTAAACTATAATAATTTGTATGTTCAATTTCCTTCTTCTTTCAGTAATAGCTTTTGTTAAACGACCCACCCACCCCATGTCTTTGTATGTAATAAGTCATTTATGCCCAATGTATATTTTCAGCCTTCGGGCGCCGACTTTCAATAAACCGTTAATTATTATTATTATTATTATTATTATTATTATTATTATTATTATTATTATTATTATTATTATTATTATTATTATAATATTAAGGTCAGGTAAGAGAGAGGGAGGACAGAGTCATATGTCCTGTTAGAGTGGTCAGGTGTGTTGCCTTTTATTGCACCTTGTCCATGTTGACTATTGGTCTTGGTTTACAATATATCCAGGGTTATATTATCTTCTGGTTTACAGTATAGCTTGGTTTACAACATCATCTGGTTTACAATATATCCAGGGTTATATTATCTTTTGGCTTATAATATAGCCTTGCTTACATTATCTTCAATGTAAACTTAAAGATAATCTACTGGTTTACAATATTCCTACACTTGTTATTTTGTAAAGTTTGTCCCCAGGAAAATGCTTTTGAGGTATTTTGTATTAATTTCGGAGGTTCAAATGAATTACAGAATGAACACTACGACTCCTGTTGTCTCGGTAGGTTGTCAAAATCCTTCGTCCATTGTGTCATATTATCTCACATAATATTGTATTTTTACGATTGTATTTACGTCAGTGGTGTTACCTTTAAAGTCTATACCACATTACCAGAGCTATTTCACTCCCTACCATCATCATCACCACAATCTTCATCACCACTACCCGCAACTACCATTATCCACCATTACCATCAAGATGTCTACTACCACCATCACCATAGTCAGCCCTACCATCAGTGTTACTACCATTAACTACCTGTATAGTCACCAATGCCTCCTTATTAGTGTGTTACCTTGCCACCTCTATATACCACCACACCACCACTACCAACATTACACTACACCACACCTTCATCCGACTCGAATACTACCACTTCCAGTAAACTACAAGGTCTACCACTTGACTTGATGCATGAAGAGCTATTGCTTGTGGTAGGGTCGGGGGTGGGGAAGGGTAGGTAACTGAGAACTTTGAAGGAAAAGCAGAGTAAAGGTATCCGTATATCAACCACATACTGTATTTTAAAATACTTTTGTTGATCTTTTGTACTAGTAATTTAAGTTCTAGCTCTTAAGTTCTTTATTGAGCTGGTTGAGCATCGTATCTTTTGTTTTAATAAAGGTGGGAGAAAACGTCTACCACTTACCCCCACCCCCGTCCATAATACCTCAACACCACATCAAATAATACACCATACCACTACCACCACACCATCTAACACCATACCACTACCACCATCTAACACCATACCACTACCACCACACCATCTAACCCATACCACTACACACACCATCTAACGCCCCATACCACTAACACACCATCTAACATCATACCACTACCACCACACCATCTAACACCATACTACCACCACACCATCTAACTCCCCATGCCACTAACACACCATCTAACATCCCACCAGAACCACCAACCATCTAACACCATACCACTACCACACCATCAACGCCCCATACCACTACCACACCATCTAACGCCCCACACTACTACCCCACCATCTAACGCCCCACACTACTATCACACCATTACCATACCACTAACACACCATCTAACACCACAACCGCCACACCATCTAACGCCCTATACCAGTAACACACCATTTAACACCACACCAGCAACCACCGCACCATCTAACACCACACCGCAACCACCGCACCATCTAACACACACCACAACCCCACCATCTAACATGCCCCATTACTAACACCACACCATCTAACACCACACCACAACCACATCCTAACACACCACCCTAACACCACACCATACCACTACCACACCATCTAACACACCACAACCACACCATCTAACACCCCATACCACCACCTCATCACAGCACTTCCCTCTCACACCCACACATTCTGTCAGTAAGAAGGGTCAGTAGCCAGGTGATGGGGCAGAATGTGGTCAGTGGAGCAAGTTAATATTAGGTAATTTAGTGACATATGCTCCTCCAAAGTCGGATTTGGTGTGGGGAAAAAAACCTAACCTAACCTAACCAGCAGGTACACGAGAGGCTGCACCACTGGCCAATTGTTCTCTGGATACTTTATCTTGATGGGGTGGTCGGTGTGCCGTAAAGACCTGTGCCTTAAGACTAATGAACTTGTTATACGGTCCGTGCCCAGCTTAAGGAACAACGTTTAATTGGACCAATGATTTGTCTTAACAAATCGCCTGGTGCAGCAGGTGACTGTTGTGAATGAGGCTATGAATATGTTGAAAGATGGTGTGTGTGTGTGTGTTTTTTGTGTGTGTGTGTGTGTGTGTGTGTGTGTGTGTGGTGTGTGTGTGTGTGTGTGTGTGTGTGTGTGGGGTGGGTGTGTGTGTGTGTGTGTGTGTGTGTGTGGGGGTGTGTGTGTGGGGTGTGTGTGTGTGGTGTGTGTGTGTGTGTGTGTGTGTGTGTGTGTGTGTGTGTGTGTGTGTGTGTGTGTGTGTGTGTGTGTGTGTGTGTGTGTTTAAATATAATTATAAACCAGATGCAACTCTTAAACACAGAAGTTACATTACAAGTATCATGGTAAGTAACGAACCATAATTGTTCTTAAATATAATGTTACAGTATTATTACAATTAAACAGACATACATAATTAATACAGTAATTAAGGTAGGCAGACCCGAGTGTTCCAGACCGTAATAATCTCTCTTAATTGTACTTGAAATAAACTTAAATGAACGTTACAAAAATAGGACACGGTGGATAAATTTTCGCTCAGGATTTTTTTCACTCGCATCCAAAAAGACTTACGAGTTGAAAATAAGGAAACGATTCATTTTGAAAATACATTAAATATTTTTTTTTTCTGAAGCTAATGACTTTTATTTTAATTTTAAATAGTGTCTTTCGTAATGGATGTCCAGTGTTATTTGATTGAGTTGAACAGACTTTAGAATCACCTTAAAAATAAAAATAAAACAGGAAGACTTTTATAAATAGTGGTAACCTCACTGAGAAATAGCCGTAAGCTCACCGATACAATTATTATTTTTTACATATGCAAATATGTATAAATTACCACCAAACTGGACAATTAAATTTATCTCTAATACATAAAAGAGGTGTGATCCTTTTCTTATATTTGTATAATTTATGGCAAGAAGACCAGAAGTTGCCATTTTCCCAGTTATTAATAGAGACAATGAAAGCGTCGGGGTATTTTAGGCAACATTAACATACACCAGTGGAATTCCATGGCTAATGTTGGCTCTGAGGCTTCGATCCTAGTCAGCTGAAGCCTAAAACAGAAAAAAAAACTAACAAAAATAAACAAGAAGAAACTAAACAAGGAAACAAACCAAAAATAAACAATAATAAACTAACAATAAGAAGAAGTAGTAAGAATAATGAATGTTATTATTATTATCACAGCCATTTATTATTTTTGGATACGTTAGTCAGCTCACTGCTCGCCATTCCTAACTGACTGATTGATTGACTGATAGACTAACTGGTAATGTTTTATCCCGCTGAGGGAGTTATTTTTATACGTCTTATCACACACACAGTTATATGGATTTGATATGTACTTAGTTACTCTTGTCGTGGATATAGTTGAGATGTATAGACGAGTGTGTGTGGTGTGTGTGTGATAATGTTCATTGTTTTAGTATAGTAACCACAGGACTTGGGTGCCACTCAGTACATAAACACCTGAATGGCTAACCACAACACTCAACCATGGTCAAAGAGTACCCAAAGCAGCAGACCAGTGACAGCCTCTAGGCGGTTCTGTAAGGTTTATCAAGTTGCGTAAACAGATTTAAGTTTCATGACTATAGCCAGTACTCTTTGAGGTTAGGTAGCTTAAGACATTGTACTCAAGGGGGTTAAGACATTGTACTCAAGGGGTTAAGACATCGTACTCAAAGGGTTAACGCTTTAAACACAAAAGTTAACCATAAATTAATAACACGTGTAAAAATGCCGCAGTAATGTTTTAAGTGATATTGTTTAGTGTTTAGCAAGACACCCGTGTTTGGAAAGTTTCTCGACTATGACCAATATTGTTTGAAAAAAAAAGTAAGTGTAACATAAGAATGGACTGACAGAGAACTTTATATTAAGCCCTTTCTACACACACGGCGGGGCATAAAGGAATAAAACAGAAGAAGGTACCAGCATATGGCAGGAACTCTGCGGGACTCCCAGCCCCGGAAGTTACGGGCGCGTGTGGTAGTGGTGTTTGTGTGGATGGTATTTGTGGTGGTGGCGGTGATGATGATAGTGGTGGCGGTGATGATGATAGTGGTGGCGGTGATGATGGTGATGGCGGTAATGATGGTGACGGTGAAGTATGGTGACGGTGAAGGATGGTGATGGTGTAAACGGTATGGATTGTGATTATGGTGGTGACGGGGGGGTGGTGATGATGGTGTGGACGGTGGTGATGATAGTGTTGTTCCCCAGCTGACTGACGTGACGTACTGCTGCCCGTCTTCTGGGATTTAATAGCGACGAAATTTTTGGAGGAAGGATGGGTCAATTATCTTAATACCCTAGGAACTATGGGGCTTCCATATATGTGATAATTGTTCCATTTTTTATGTGAGGTGCCGGTGAACAATATTATCTGCACGTCGTGTTTTTGGGAGAGGGAAGACAGAGGATGGAGGGGAGAGAGGGTGGAAGGGGGATGAATGAATAGAAGGGGGGAGAGAAGAGGTGTATATATTAATAAGCACCATATAGGAATTAATTATGAAAGTTAACCCGCGTCTTCTCGTGTGAGTTTACCGAGCATGACCCGCTAAAATTTACATATTAATAAAGCCATTTAACACAGATGAGCCATAATGATGTGTTAATAGAAGTATTTAACACCGCTACACCGTGAAAAGATGAATATGGATTATATTAACCTGGCGACCCGTTAGAGGCAGTGTGGAGACCTCTCATTGTATACTAAGGCTTTGGTACACAAGGAGGTAGCATGGCCAGCACTCCACTCCATCACATTCAGTTACATTCTCGTGACGTGTGAGTGGTCTGATACTATAGTCTTTGACACAAACTGACTCCTGCTCACCAGTCAGTGGAATGACCTGACTTGTAGTGATTACCTACTTCTCTACATCACATAATGGTCTAAAATTGTTTCTTGGGACAACTTCGAGTCTATACACTTCTACAAATCATTAATCAACAAAAATCTTCGATACATATTTTTGTCCAGTTTATAATCTCTAGTGCAAGATATGTTTGGTTAGATGACGAAGGAACAAACACACAGACAGACACCCTACACAAATATTTCACTCTTCTCAATTTAGAAAGACAAAAATAAACAGCATATCGTCTGTCCTTCTACAACCCAACAATTAACTCTCAAACTTCACTTTTTATTGGCTATGGGTTGATATCCCAAATGTAATTTAACACTAATTACATCATTAAATCATCAGCGTAAAAAAAAAATCGCCCTTCCGTCCCTTTTATCAGAGAGAAAAAGATGAAACTCGGTCTTTACAGCAACCAGCAAAAATGATGCGTAAAAAGATGATCGGAGCAGATGACGTGTCTACCTGGCTAACTGACCTTCCCTCCCTGGACTTAATAGCTTCTCAATTGCACCACAGGGGGTAGATCAGGTGGCGTATGGGTGGCCAGGCTGGTGGTGTATGGGAGGTGGGGTGACAGTGTATGGGAGGCAGCGTATTGGTATGTGGGTGATGATGTGCTGATTAGGGCTGGGAGAATTTATATTTGTATATGGGAGAATAATTGAGTTATCAGTTGGTTAAGGCGGGGAAATATAAACAAAGAGAAAAAAGATCTTAATTTTAGAATTTTTGAGTCGTAACCTAATGGCAGGGAGAAAAGTGTATAGATTACGGAATAATATCCAGATGGTTGGGGGAAAATACGTGACGGGGTAGAAATAATTCTTTCTGGGTGATAGAAGAGTGTGTGTGGGTGGCAGGGAGAAAATGACAGTGGTAACGTGCAAGTGGCCGAGGTAATATGTGGGCGGCGGAGGCAACATGTTGGTGTTAAAGAAATTATGTGGTTATTGGTGGAGGAAATGTGCGTTTAGTAGGGGAGTGAGTGGCAATGTGTGGGTGGTAGTGTGTGGGTGGTGGTGTGTGGGTGGTGTTGTGTGGGTGGTGGTGTGTGTGGGTGGGTGGGTGGTTGTGTGTATGGGTGGTAGTATGTGGGTGTCCTTGTGTGTGGGATGGTTGTGGCTGGGTGGTGGTGTGTGGGTGGTGGTGTGTGGGGGGTGGTGTGTGGGTGGTGGTGTGTGTGGGTGGTGGTGTGTGTGGGTGGTTGTGTGTATGGGTGGTGTGTATGGGTGTCCTTGTGTGTGGGATGGTTGTGGGTGGGTGGTAGTGTGTGGGTGGGTGGTTGTGTGTATGGGTGGTAGTATGTGGGTGTCCTTGTGTGTGGGATGGTTGTGGTGGTAGTGTGTGTGGGATGGTTGTGGGTGGGTGGTAATGTGTGTGGGTGGTTGTGGGTGGGTGGTGTTGTGTTGGGTGGTAGGATATGACTGGTGGGTGGTGATGTGTTGTGGTAGACGTAGGTACTACCCGGGAAGGTGTAACTAATCTAGGCTCGATACACCGAGTGATATTTCAAGACAGTATGTCTTGGGAGTGGGCGTGTATCGTTGTGGTGCGTGTCATGGGAGGTGGTGAAGTGCAGCGCGTGTCAGGGGGCGGGCGTTTGGTGACCTGTGTCATGGAGGAGGGCAGAAAGGGCAGCGGGGCGGGGCGGCGTGTGTCCTGGAGGAGGGCGCGGGGTGGCGTGTGTCCTGGAGAAGGGCGCGGGGTGGCATGTGCGCCGTGTGTGCCCAGGAAGGGCTTGTGGTGTGTGGGCTGGTGCGTGCGTGACGGGCGTCATTTCTGTGAGGACGGGGCAGGGTGGCCGCGCAGGCCCACTCACGCCTATAATTTGGCAGCCGCGGATGTGACGCTCACCTGGGAGACCGCACGCCACCCCGCCCCAACTTGCCAGCCACGCCGCCCCACCTTGCCACGCTACCCGAGCTAATCCGTTCCCACTGTGTTACCACTCTGCTAGTTAGGCGCTCCACTTGGCTAGGCCTTCCCACCTGGCCAGGCCACCCAATCTCTACATATAATCAAGCCGGCTCACACTTCCAACAACGCCAGGCCACCCCGCCCTATGACTCCACTCCACCAGGCGGCCAAACCAGACTTCTCTTTTCTCTCAAACATACCCCAGACAATCTCATCTTGCCAGGTCTTCCCACCCTACCAGGGCATTCACCCTGCCAGGCCACCCACCCTTCCAACCTGCCAAGCCACTCACCCTGCCAGATTGCCTCCACCGTGTCGTCACACACACACACACACCACCAGGGCACCTGCTGATGGGAGGAGAGGCAGGGCATTAACCGAACTCAGTTTGTTAGTAATTCTCTCAAGACGAGAAGTTGTGTGTACATATTTAATAGCCAACCCAGGAGTCAAACAATTGACATGAACACTATTTTTTTTTCTTAATGTCGGCCAAAATACTGTACACCTTGGCTTTGGATCACACCTAGAGACTTCACGGGAGTAACGTACCACCTTTGACCCCATGAACCGAAGCCTTAAACAGAAGTGAATCTACCAGTTATCCACCAGAGTAACTAATTCACCTCCAGGTAGCTCTTGTGAACTCCTGGCCAAGCAACTTGCCCTTATTACGTATACACACAGCGTCTTGATCCTCATAAATTCTGTACATTTTGTCTTCAACCTGGCATTAAGTTTAGAGAGTACTTTTATTTATTTATTTCATATTAATATTTATTTGTTTATTTATTTAGTTATTTTTTGCCTCATTTTTTTGGTCATTGATTTGTGGGATATTTAGTTCTTTTCCTTTTTCCCTCACTTGTTTCCTCCTCCTCCTTTTTCCCTCTCCTCCCTTTTCCACACTACTCACACATTCCTTCCCCTCCATCCACCACACTACCACACCTTCCTTCCTCCATCCCCCACCTACCACACCTTCCTTCCCTCCATCCCCACACTACCACCTTCCTTCCCTCCATCCACCACACTACCACACCTTCCTTCCTCCAACCACCCACACCACCTTCCTTCCCTCCATCCACCACACTACACCTTCCTTCCTTCATCCACCACACTACCACACCTTCCTTCCCTCCAACCACACCTACCACCTTCCTTCCCTCCATCCACCACACACCTTCCTTCCTCATACCACACACCACCTTCCTTCCCTCCATCCACTCCACCCACCTTCCTTCCTCCATCACTACCTACCACACCTTCCTTCCCTCCAACCACCACACTACCACTCCTTCCTTCCCTCCATCCCCCACACTACCACACCTTCCTTCCCTCCATCCACACTTACACACCTTCCTTCCTCCAACCACCACACTCACCTTCCTTCCCTCCATCCACCCACACCACACTCCTTCCTTCCCTTCATCACCACCCTCCTTCCCTCCATCCACCACCTACCACCACACCTTCCTTCCCTCCAACCACCACACTACCCTCCTTCCTTCCCTTCATCCACACCCTTCCCTCCAACCACCACACCTCCTTCCCTCCATCCACCCACCTTCTTCCCTCCACACCACCCTACCCACTCCTTCTTTCCCTTCATCCACCACACTACCACACCTTCCTTCCCCTCAACCACCACACTACCACCTCCTTCTTTCCTTCATCCACCACACTACACACCTTCCTCCCTCCATCCACCACACTACCACACCTTCCTTCCCTCCAACCACCACACTACCACACTCCCTCCCCTCCATCCACCCACTACCCACACACCTTCCTTCCCTCCATCCACCACACTACCACCTCCTTCTTCCCTTCATCACACACACCACACACCTTCCCTCCAACCACCACACACCCCACCTTCCCCTCCATCCACCACACTACCACACCTTCCTTCCTCAACCACCACACTACCACCTTCCTTCCCTCCATCCACTACACCACACACTTCCTTCCCTCCATCCACCACTACCACACCTTCCTTCCTCCAACCACCACACTACCACCTTCCTCCATCCACCACACTACCCACCTTCCTTCCCTCCATCCACCACACTACCACCTTCCTTCCCTCCAACCACCACACTACCACCCTTCCTTCCCATTCACCACTCCTCCTTCCTTCCCATCACCACACTACACCTTCCTTCCCTCCAACCACACACCCCTCCCCCACACTCCTTCCCTCCATCCACTACCACACCTTCCCCTCCATCCACCACACTACCACCTTCCTTCCCTCCATCCACCCACTCACCACACCTTCCTTCCCTTATCCACCACACACCCCACACCTTCCTTCCTCAACCAC